AATGAGAAAACAGTGAATTTACAGGTCTTCTACAAGGAAAAGGAATCATTTATAATACCCAGAAAAGATAGAAGGTTTACTTTTTAACCTTGTCTTGTACCTCTTAGCAGGTTCTTGCCATGGGTGACAAAGAAGTAGGCAACTACTCAGATGTACCTGACTTCATTCTTGTGGGCTTCAGGGTCCGTCCCGAGTGCCACAGTCTCCTTTTCCTCCTCTTCCTGCTGGTTTATGGCGTGCTCCTTGTGGGAAACATGAGTATGATTTCAATCATTGTGACTGACTCCCAGTTGAATACACCAATGTATTTCTTTCTAGGCAATCTCTCCTTCATTGACCTTGTCTACTCCACTGTGATTGCACCTAAAGCCATGGTCACCTTCCTGTCTGAGAAAAAGACTATCTCCTTTGTAGGTTGTGTGGCCCAGTTCTTCCTCTTTGTCCTCTTCATTGTAACAGAGGGCTTCGTCCTGGCAGCCATGGCCTATGACCGCTTCATTGCCATATGCAATCCTCTTCTTTACAGTATCCACATGTCCAGACGCCTCTGCACACTGCTGGTGGCAGGTTCCTATTTCTGTGGCTGGGTCACTTCTCTACTTCAGGTCAATGTCACATTCTCAGTGTCCTTCTGTGCTTCTCGAGCCATTGATCACTTCTACTGTGATTCTTACCAAATTGAGAAGATTTCCTGCTCTGATCTCACAGTCAATAAGATGGTGTCTCTCTGTTTGGCTGTCTTCATAATTCTGCCCACCATAGCTGTTATTCTCTTATCTTACATGTATATTGTATCTGCAGTCTTAAAGATGTCATCCAATGAAGGGAGAAAGAAAGCCTTCTCCACTTGCAGCTCCCACTTGGGTGTTGTAAGTGTGTTCTATGGAACTGCCTCTTTTGTGTATTTCACACCTCCAAATAATCCTGAACTTCAAAAAGTAGCCTCAGTATTTTATATATTGATCACACCCATGTTAAACCCTCTGGTCTACTCTCTAAGAAACAAGGATGTGAAACAAGCTTTGAGGAAAATGCTAGGGTAGAAAAAAAATTATCCTAACTCCACTTTCTTGTTCTTTTCTCATTAATTCTTTTACTGTAATTTACTTTTAATTTGGGAATCAAATTTGATTAGTTTGATAATCCTTTAAGTTGCCCACTCCACAAATGAAATTATTTTTATTGGAGGAGTAGTACCAATATATCACTAACTTTTCTTTAAGAGGATTCTTCTGTATGAATATCATCAGAAAGTGACACTTTGCAGTCATTTTATAAATATAAATGTACTCCTTGAACTTTCTAGGTGTCATTTTAAGATATGTAAAATTTTAACTTCATTTTTTTT